GATGGGCCTGTTTGGTGAAAAGAGGTCTCACCGGCCAGCCTGCACTGTAAGAAACTTAATTTGTTGTACATCTTGCAGGTGTATAGTTATTAACCTTTTTTTTTCCTCTAATTTAGGCTATTAATGAGGACTGCCTGCTGCTAATTTTCAGAATCATTTAATCAGTATCTGGTGTTTCCCAGACTTCTGTTTTTATCACCTAATAAATTTTAACTAAAAACAGTTTTGAATATCTGCATTATTGAGTTAGGACACAAGCCGTCCCTGGTAGTGGTTAAGATGCAGCGCTTTTGCCTGCAGCCCGGGTTCCAGTCAGAATTGCGTCAGGAAAGGCATCCGGCGTAAAACATGTGCCAAATGTCAACATGTGGCGACCCCCTAAATGGGAAAACCCGAAAGTGACATTTCGTTTAATTATGACAGCAGAAAATGAAAAGATTTCACCACAAATGTGTGAATGGGCTCAAATTAACAGAGATAATCTTGGATTCTCACTTATTTATTTTTGTGGAGAGTAAAGAGTACAGAGTGGAAGAGAGAGGTGTTGCAAACAGTACATGTAATGTACAGATGTAATTATGGCAGTTGATGAAAAGTCAATTTAATACCAGTATTATCTTTTTTTTTTTTTAATAATTACTTTCAGTGCGGTGATGTTTTTCATTATAAATATTCAGGTACCTTTTGGTGGATAACAGCGTTATCCAAAAGGCATAATTATGTTCTCTCCTTGCCAGTCAGTTTTTTTTTTCTCTATTATGATGCAACTGACAAGGACCTGTACAGTGTTGATCAAGAAAATCCTCAGCTCAACCCATCCAGGTTGGGCATCATCTTGGAAGGGAATGTGGTGATGAATGAACTGGCCAACCTGCTTCAGGCCTTCTATGTCCTTTTTGGACTGATCTATGATCTGCACGAAAAACACGCTTTATTCAGCAGGTAATACTCAAACTGGGTAGAAGTGAGCTGGTGCCCAAAATTCAAACTTTAAAAAAAATCAACTTTCAGTGTAAAACAGTTCTGAATAGTTAAACTACTGTTCCAGATTTCAGTGCATAGTTTGTAATGTTACACTTAGTATAAGATCGAAAACTGTTGTGCACTGCTTGGAGTGCATGTTTTATGACTTGTTGGCAGTAGCATCAGAAGGGGAGCTCACATCATTGTTCATTTGTTCAAAACTTTGTCAACTAAGTTTCCACAGACTGATAGATGAGCAGACCAAAGAGTTCAGTGTACCCTATCAGACCGGAGTTTTGATGTGATACTGAGATAGTGATGGTTACAATGTTCACATGCTGAAGCACCAACAAGTGCATTTCTTAAAATAGCAAAGGCATTATGTTGCTATACTTTCATGTTGTTTTATGTAAAATATGTTCTTGAATTTCTTGTTCTAAATTGAAATAAAACAGAAAAAGAATAGTTTTGCATTTTTATTTACATATTTTAAGTGTTTTAAGATTTTAAGTTAAATCAACTTGGAATTTAGTGCATTGAACTTACGTTTCCAAGTGGAATAACAGGGCAAAGAGGTTATTATAAAGGTTTTTAAGTTGATTGAACTTGGCAACTCAAATTTTTAAGTTAAATTCACTCAGGTTTTCATTACACATTACTTAATTTTTAACGTAACTGGTTTCCTCAAATTTTTCAAGTAAATTAAACTTATCCGGGCTTACATTGTGTAATTGGGGTTATAATATTCAATTTTGTCCAAAGTGATTTAGAAATGTGTTGATTTCAACTAAGTGATTGTTTTGGAGGTTTTTATCAGTGGTGGAAGAAGTACTCAGATAGTCTACTTAATAAAGTTACTACAGTATAGAAATACTCTTTCTAGAATTGAATTCATGCATTAAAATTTTTACTTAAGTAAAAGTACAAAAGTACTAGTATAAAAATAAAATATTAAAAAGTATAGTGATCATTGTTATTTATTATGGAATTTCCCATTTCAGAACCTTATTTATAATTGTGTATAAATATCTGGCTAATTTGAACTATTGTATGTACTCCAGATGGCTTAATTCATAATACAGTAATACATCATAAAACGGACTGCACATATGCAGTACTTTTATAACAACAAACAAACCGTAAAGAAGAATTTTCCCTTATTCACACACACAGTAACACAGTGATGGCGGCAGTGGATGTAGAGTGGTTCATCTCCTAACTGGAAGGTTGGCGGTTCAGTTCCTGGCTTCTCCAGTCCACATGTCAAAGTGTCCTTGAGCAAGACACTGAACCCTGAGTTGCTCCTGGTAATATCACCACTGTGTGAATGTGTGAGTGCTTGGGAGTGTAAATGAGTGAATGGGTAAAAACTATGGTGCTTTGAGTGTACTACAATGCATAGAAAAGTGCTATACAAGTACAAGACCATTTACATCTTGAACTCAGACTTCTGACATTAGACAATAAGTTTGAATTAACTCAAAAGTCCAAGAGTCCCTTGCTTCCCTTATCTGATTAGTCACCAGTCAACCTAAGCTGCATGTCTGTGGACCGGAGAGAACCCACACAGGAACAGGGAGAACATGCAAACTCCATACAGAAAGGCCCCGGATTGACCCAGGCTCAAACCCAGAATCTTCTTGCTGTGAGGCAACAACGCTAACCACTGTTCTAGTGTGCCAGAGGTATTGAATATTAATATCCATGTCATAAAGTGTAGTCATATACGCACACCTGATTGCACTCACCTCCTCCAGTCTCCATCGATTAAAGAGTTTATTGTATTTTCCAGGCCTGCCAGCAAACCTGAACAAATGGACAATGGCAACATTAGCTGTGAAATGCATCTAGAGAAAAACTAATAAACACTAAGCAGACAAATGACACATAACTCTGCCTATCATGTCCGATTAGTCGCATTTCTAGGCAGCATAGTTGTAAATGTTGAAATACAAGGGCCAAAAATAACTACAGCGAGGAAAGAAAAGGAAGGAGTCTTGGCAGATTTTCTTATGAAGGAGTTTGAAACAAGACATCTTTGCACAGTCCCTCATTAAATTCACTGTAAACAGGAACTATGGAGTTCATGGCAGCCGGCCTACCTTCCAAGAAAGAAAGCAATGTAAAATGTGGAGCTGTTCAGATTTACAAACTGGAACAGAAACATCTTCAGAGCAAAACTGTTCTCCCACTCAGACTCTGTCCGTGGATGCTCTAAAAAGGCAGAAACGGGTTGTGGTCATGTACAGGATAGACAGTAAATGCAGGCCAAGCATCTGAGAAGTGAGAGATAATGAAGCTACTGTATAAATGCATGCAGCATACTGACAATGCTCACCTAAATTAGTCAGCAGATAGGCCACCTTTTCATACACCTGACAAGACATGAGCAGTGTTAAACATCGACAAGAAAAGGTTGAAGAAGCTAATGATCTTGGGAAAGAGGCAAACAGGAATCTTTTTGGCTGTAGATGTTATAATTCCTGGAACAAAGTTGTAAATAAATATTTCATGACACATTTGTTGGACAGAATATGTAAACATGCCAGATGAATCTTGTCCAGACACCCACCACGTTGAGAGACATGATGATCATAAAGTTGATGCAGACACCAGTGCCAGAAGTGGCAAACTGCCAGTTTTTCTTCACAAACTTCCAGTTGAAGGAAGCAAACTTCTCCATCACAATGAGACGGAAAACCACCACAGCAAACACGGCCGTCAGAACGAGGGAAATCTAAGCGAGAAGGAACCAGAGAAGAGAGGATGGTGAATGAGTTTAAACACAGCAGTGTGATTAGGAACAGGTGGAACAGTGCAGCAAAAAAGGAAAAAACTTACTGATTAAGAAACAATTATCTATCCATATGAACAAAAAAACTCATTCAGATGTAATCAACAAAAGTGAGGACATCAAAAAAAAAAGGCTAAACCCTTTTAAACTCCAGCTACCTTGAACATTCCTTTGACTAAACTGGACTATGACAATACATCATGGACATGTGCAGTGGACAATGAAACAGACCTATATGTGGTGTAATCTACATCTATATGGCTTAACTATTTATTCTCTCCATCTTTAATTATTTCACAAATTATTTTATTTATCTATATAGGTTTGTTTATCATGGACATACTGTTAGTCTAGTTTTTTTATACAGAGCCAAAGGAAACGTAATTTCTTCTTGCTGCACTCTGTGTGTATAGTTTGACAATAAAGTGAGTCTGATACATTCTTTGTCCAGCAGGGGGAGATCTTACACTACTACTAACACATCACCCTGCTCTAAAGGTGGTGGTACACAAAACAAGGGTGAGCTCATTCTCAGCCTGAATCCCAGAAGGGTTGATTATTTGAAGATCAAAGGGTTTACCATGAAGAATATTCCAGACACTGACACCATGAGCCGGCTGAGTTTGTCTGAGAAGGGCTGGAAAGGCTCAGGCTTGCCAGAGATGGGGTTGACTCTCTCCACTCTGGAGTACTTGGCCTCAAATTGAGGCCGCAGCTCCTCCTGATTAAAAACACAAATTCCAGTAAGAACTTTTGAACTGTGGCTGTATCTGCCGACTGAAGTAATAACATTTATTTCTATATCATGTGAGCAGTGTCACATTTACTGCATGAACACAGGCTAAAACTGTGAGGTGATCAAACCGTATCAGATCTTCAGTATTTGAGCATGTTGCTGATGTACCTCTTCCTCCTCCCAGTCAATGAGATCCCAGTCGTAAGTCAGTTCTGCCCTCCTCCTTTTCCAGAACTCTAGGAAGACTGTTGCTGCAGAGGGAGTCAGGAATCAATCACATTATTGATTGACTTTGATACAGTATGTAACATAGTATAAATGATGATCATCTAACTGCAGAAGATCATTTACTGTGGCGATAATGCAGAACCAGACATCAGGTTCAGATATCCTGAGTGAAACACAGCCTGCAGTAATGTCCACGGCCTCTTACAGAAACTGATCACAGCCATCCTTTCACATTGCTTTGTTTTATGGTGAAGTTACAGAAATGTGGCAACAGCAAACAGGTTTTACTTGTTCAGTACAATGTGTCACCCCCAAATTCAGTCTTTGTCAGATGAGATCCATTTTGTTGAAACACTTCAGTAGTAAAGCTTTATGTGGTCAGAATTCTCTCTGAACACATCGTTTCAGATCCTGTTGTGACTTGAGCTGCACACGACACCAGAAAAAATGTTTGCAATCTTTTTTGTTTCAAGACTTTGCATGTATTCTGGTTTATTGCATAGCACTAAAAAAAAGAGGCTTTTAGAAAGGCTACAGTACACTGCAGACATGCATCCGAATTTACATTTTTGTGGCTCAATATAAGTTAAAGAATTTGCAAACGTAGTGGGAAATGGACCTCAGAGTCAGTGGAAAAGAAAAGTGGAGCCAAGTGTGATATATGATGGACAGCACAATGTAAGACTACACCACTGATCCAGCCCTACTGTCAGTTTTCATTAGACATAGATTATAATATATAGACGATCCTGAAGCAGCTGCACAAACTTCTAATGAAAACTGACACGAGGATTTGATCAGTGCTGTGCAGATTTAACACAGTTCTTATTTGTGATTTATACATCTGAAGATTTTTTTAGACCAAAACATTCATCCTAAACATAGCTGTTAATTGCAGTCCTATATGTGTTTTTTGTTAAGCTGGTTAAAGCTAAACAAAATGATCCCATTGATAAAGATAAATTCAGGACACACAAAGGACTTGTGGCCTTAAGATTCACTAGAATGTGAATGCTCAGTCAGACCAGCTTTGCAGTTAAAGATGTTTAATATAGCTCGACCCACTTTTGTTTAAAGAGAGAGAAGAGCAGCCTTTTCAGGTGCCTACATTTGGTCCCTTGAGCTAAACAGTTTTTCTATCTCTTTCACACACACACACACACACACACATATACAATAGATCTAGAGTGTGCTCTGGCACAGTACTGCTACTGTGGTCCACACTGCTAAAAGCCTTCATGCAGGAGTCAGTGCTTACAGGCCTCAGTTAGGCTGGCTGGACCTCTCTTGGAGCTCTCCTTGGGCTCCATTTAGCCCAAACAGAGAACCGAATGTGCCAAATGTTCTCTCTGGGCGTAGATGATTATTTACCAGGTTGGCAGATAGATGGATCTGGGCCAGAGGCTGCACAGTAACGCTTACACTCTACATTACACATATATTACAGCTGTGGAAACCCCAGCTGCAATATATAGCTATCATGCAGTTCTACAACCTTTACAGCTGAATGGTACCATCTCTCTCTGGAGTAATGGTTAATTATCTGACTAATTATAGCAGGGCAGGAAGTGTGTGTGCAGACATGCAGTCAGAGAAACCTGACCATGATTTGTTCAGTGACAGAATGAAGATCTCCTGTATTTGTACTACATAGGATGTATATATATCGAATCCTCAGTTGAAAAGCTTAATGTGTTTGGGGGAGTTGAGTGGAGAGTGGAAGCTGGAGCACTGGCACACTGTTGATGTAGCTAAAACAAGTGCTCTTAAAATCAGGAAAATGGACAAGCACACACACACCTACCCCAAATAGCCATGAAGATAGCAAAGAACACAGTCCCGCCGTTGTCAAACAGATGGGTAACCTAGAAACACAGTCACATTAAGGGCTGGCATGAGGAGTCCTTCCTGACACAGATGAGAGAGAATTCTGACCATTTCAACAGCTGGCAGAGCCAGGCTAGCCGTTTCCCTGTTTCCCATTTTAGGCTAAGCTATCCCGGCTTCTGGTTCTAGCTTAACAACTGACAGACAAATATGTGAATGAGTCTATGGTGTTTCCAAAAAAGATTATAAACAAAATATTGGTGATATTATTTTTTTGTTTATATGCAGTATATTTAATGAAAACTGAATTAAATAGGCTTCAAATACATCTTTATTTAAAAGTGTTTGCAATATAAAAAAAAGAAAGAAATTGTGACAAATTCAAAGACACTTTGAATGACAGCTCTAGTTTATGAGGTCATGCGGATTCTGAATATAAAAATGTTGCAATGAGCTAGAAGAGGCTGAAAAACTAAAATAATGAAAAGCTGTGATGAATGACAAATCTGTACTGACCTTTGCATAGACACAACTATCACTCAGCGTCCATGGCTCACAGGTTTCCTCACACATAGGACACATGATGGTAGTGTTGGCTTCACAAATCTCTTTACTGGGAGACAATGAATCAAGGTTCAGTAAAAGACAACAACAACCTACCTTAATGACAAGGCAACAGAGTATATGGCAGGCCTTAAATGGTATGCTGATTGTATGAACTTACCTAACTTGACTAGAGTCCATAGTAAAGAGACCATAGAGGAAGACGAGAACGCCAACCAGGGCAGCAGGGATCAACATGCCGGTGTACCAGCCCAACCACGCAAAGTAAAGACCAATTTTCTCACCAAAGTATCGCCTGGGAGAGAGACAGAGGTCAGTGTTTACCACTGTGTTGACTATTAATTAAACCTGGCTAAGTTCATTTAGAGTGCAGCTGTGGCTGTAGATAGAGTCCTGTGAGGTGGCTGTGATGGTCTAATAAAAAGGGCAGCTGCTGGATTTAAAGGTCACACAGTATGATGAAGCAGTGGGAAATGAATCAATAACTATATAAGCTTCCTAAACAGCAGCTGTCAAGGTGCCCTTGAGCAAGACACTTCTTTCATAGCTGCTTCGGTAAAGTTGATCACCTGATGAGGTCCAGAGGTTGGTATTTGTACCATATCCCCCAGCGGGCCCAACGCTCATACAGAAGATGTCTGTGGTTCTGGGCACCATGTGTCTTAATTGGGTGCCGGCTCTTGTAACCACCCTGACAAGACAAAGGATCAGAGCGATTCACATTACAGGAGGAATTTTATTCGTTGACAATTTGTGAATCTCTGCAGCTTCTGAAAACAAATCCAAGTACCTCATGTGGAGGAAAAGCAGCCTCGTATGTGTTGTTGCCCAATAACCGGTTGATACCTACAGTGGAAGATAAACTGTGTCATGTCAGAGATGCACATGTTAGAACAGCACAAGGACACCACATTAAAAACTCAGTACCGGTTGTAATTCAGAGAGGGGTCCAGTGAGAGAATGATTTAACCCCACATTTCCAAAGTCATTATGTAACTGACAAGCTGTATCAGACAAGCACATTAGAGGGTTGAAACACTCAGGTTAGAATTTCAAAAAACATCTTCCATTTTTGCAGAGCCATAATTACTTGGTCCAATCCGGGGCCTTTCTGTGTGGAGTTTGCATGTTCTCCCTGTGCCTGCGTGGGTTCTCTCTGGGTACTCTGGCTTCCTCCCACAGACCAAAGACATGCAGCTTAGGTTGACTGGTGACTGTAGGAGTGAGTGTGGGTGTGGTCGTTTGTCTATGTGTCAGCTCTGTGATAGACTGGCGACCTGTCCAGGGTGGACCCCGCCTCTCACCCAGTGTCAGCTGGGATTGGCTCCAGCCCCCATGCGACTAGATTCCATTGTCATCCCCCGCCTGAAACTGTAGATAGTAAGAGCTGGATTTGAAAAGGATTTTCCACTCTAATGACAAAGCTGATCTTATGTGTTGGAAAGCAGAGTGGCCAACAACATTAAAACACTGAAGTGAAATCTGCTTCAGCCCTTCAAAACCAAACTTTAATCAGCACATGTTGGCAGCAGTCAAACAAGATAGAAAGCTTGGTAACTGCCGATACCAAAAAACAACAGCCAGGAGGAGACGAGGGCTCAGACACAAGTCACACAAATGCCAACAGCACAGCAGCAGCCCACATTTAAATGATCTTACAGCAGAACAACAGACAAAGGCACAGGTTACCCCATTACCCTTCTAGCACTCTCTGAAGTCAAATTAACAGGACATTGTCAGTTTAGAGGTAATATAATCACAAACTAATCTGTAGAAAAATACAAATATACAACAGAAATTAAATGCATTTTATTGGATTCACTGTGCATCCTTTGTTCCTTTGCCACTAATTGGCAAAAAATCATTTAGGCCTGATTCTAAGTGTAATACTAAAGTCGCTAGTGAATAGTGCTATAAAATCACCAAAGATGAAAACAGAAACTTTCGATATGTAGACTCCCATTCTCAGTAAATAAATAGGCCTAAATAGGTTATTATGGTAGGCATATGTACATTGTTATATATAAATCAGCTATGAAGTCCAGTAATGTGACACTGTCAGAAATAAATGTAATATGTGAGGAGAAGAAAAAAGCAAGTACAGTTCCTTACCCATCTTTGATTTTCCATCTTCGTACTTTGTGCGCTGCAGGACGTGATGGACTATTCTGTTTCTGGTGGAATTTGAGAAGAAGGTTTCTCTGTTGTTGATAGTGAAGCTGGGAGGAAAATAACAGCACAGTCCTTTAGTGATTCATTATGTAACAGTATATCAGCATCATCCTGCTGAGGCCCTTAATGAGAGCCGACCCAGTAACAGTGGGATTAAAACTCAATACGGGTTGTAGAGTTGTTTATCCCAGCATCATTATTTCTTAAAAAAACCATCAAGGCTGACCAGCAAACGAAAAGTGGAAATGATTCAGTGACAGATGAGATTAGATGCCTTCATCAAACACAAGCTTTGAAAATGAAAAAAGCAAGAAGGAACAGGATAGAACTGTCATTATTTCATTTGCTGCTGTATTTTGATATCTTATTTATGATCAGCTTCTTGATTTTGAGTTTAGGCTCAAAGTCTGACATGCAGAATTCAGGACATGAATGAATGGGGAAGAGACAAAACTAGGTATACAGAACGGGGTGAATATCAGCTGACACTGAACACTTGTGTGAGTTTCTACATGTGGGATGTGTGTACAGTATGACTGGATGTATACAGTTTACATATGTGTTCCTTACTGATGCATGCGCGCTCTGCTAAAGGGGGCTGTGTAGCAGTCTGTTCCCTCCAGGTCAGGCAAGGCCTCTTTGTCCAGCTTCATGGGATTTCTGGGAAGCCAGCTTTTTATCTGACGGCATCTCAGATGCAACCTGCTGCATCGAGAAACAGGATTAATGGCACAGATTAGCATGAAGATTGTTTACTTCCATGTGGACCAGTGGCTCCTAACAAGATCCTGACAACTTTGCATCATTTTGCAGGTATTTTGACATAAACCAAAATACTGGATAGTGACATTTTAATCTAAAAAGTTAAGGGTTCACCAAAGCTGTTACATATCATCCTCTAAGGACCATAAATGCCTGTACAAAATGTCCAGAGATCCAACCAAATTGCTGGACTGGCCGACACCAGCATCCATTTAAAACCTGCTGACATGATTAAAAAGCAACAGTTTAAGATTTGCTCACTGCTTCTCCAGATTTCCAGTAGAGGTCTGAGTAGTTTGTGTGGCTGCTGCCATGATGTGGACCGAATGAAAATAAATGGGAATGGCTAGGGGAATGGCACAGAGAGCATTTATAAATATTGTGAAGGCGACAGGTAGTGTACAAAGTGTAACGATATCAAACTACCAAGCTGTCACCACCTACACACAGCCCATTCGTTCAGCTTTACCAGGACACGAGTTAGTGACAGGCCATTAGTAAACACACAGTACAGCCGATTTAGTTTTCATTTGAGAACAATACCTCAGTGAAAGACTGAAGGAGCTCTGTGGAAAACAAAATAGTTCTCATTCTTCACACGATCACTCTCACAAGATATAAATGTGCTTTGTTCTCAGTTGGACAGGTGGGCGAGTGATTCTTGTCTGTGATTTTTTTCTGCTCTGTGTGGGTACTCCAAGCATGACCATTAATATGTATATAGTCTGTAAATGTGGAATAAAAAAATATTCTTTCTGTATCCATATTATCTTTAAGATCTTCTGTTAATAACAGTCTGTCAATAATGTATTGAAGATAAATAGCTTGATACAATACAGTTACACTATACTAATCTTTATCATCAAGTACAGTGACATGCGGTGAGGTTGGCAGCTGGTGAGGCACTGACTCTTTTACAGTCAGATTTACCAATAGATAATATAAATTGACAAACTGTCTGTTAACAGACAATGCGTTATGTTTTATATCTCATATCAGCATTCTTCACACAAACGTGACCCATATTTAATTTGAGGTTAAAATTTATTCCAATTGAGCTTATTTCTAACTAGAAATAATAAAAGTTTATGGTCTTACCTTTACTTGTACACGAAATCCATTTGTCAGCTGGTATGTATTACAAACCCTTT